AATCGGACGCTGGTAGTAATTAAAGAATAAACCACAACTTTCCAACCAAAACATTAATATGATTTTTTTTATTTTAAATTTTTACAGTATAACAGTGTAATATAGTAATAACGATGGAAAAGGACGTATCATAGTTTATTTGGACGTACTAAGTAAAATCCGCCTTAAAATAATTAAGGCGGGTAAAACAAACCTTCCCACCTAGGTTCATGCCAAGGAATTATCTTTGGCTCTTTGCATTTTGTCTGGCTTGTGAAGTAACCAGAACCGATTATTTTAAATGTTGGTAGTTGTAAGTGACCATTTGTGGTGGCAATTCGTTACCATCAGGTGAACCGCATCGCTTATATACTCTTTAAAAAGCACTGAAATTTAAAATATAAGCTATGGACAAAAATAACAGTTAAACAAGTCAGTTTTATATGGAAAATAAGAATGTTTTGAAATCTGATCAAAATAAGTTTAACAAAACAGGTAGCGGCATGGCTGATGCAGACCTGTTCCGAGTGACTATCCAAGGTTACCTCACTCAACATTCGCGACAGATGGAACGGAAAAGTAATACAAGAATTGTCCTTCGGCTGGCCTTGCTAATGTCAATCACTCGACCGGTCATCAACAATCTCCAAAAGACCTGCCATAAAACATAAAACAGTTTTAATCTGGTGTGATAAAAGAAATAATATGCAGTGCTATGTAGCAATAGACAATCCGGTTTTGGTAATAACGACGTATTAAATCAATCATTAAATTTGAAATTACGCAGCGACGCCATGTGAAGTAACGATAAGCAAGTGTCATTATCATAATTCTTCGAATTTATCATTGTTCGCTATTATTATTACTAGTCCATTACATACGTGTTTGTGAATTACTTTTGCCGTTCACACGCAACAAAACCGAAGTTCAGTACAGTATTATTTTTACCGTTCTAGTTATATTTTAATTTACAACGTTATATTCCTTGTATTAACTTGTCACCTACTCCACTTGGTTAGTTAAAACTATACAACTTTAAACCGGCTCTTCAATGAATTTTGATACTGAAAGTAAAAACACAACGTCATGTTCCCTAACTAAACAAATCTTGTACTATGGATACTAAGTAACTGATAAACACACGTAAGCACCCTTCTTTATAAATAAATACATAGTACACAATGTAATATAGATAATTATATAATACTATATACACACCAGACATACATATAAAATATGTATCACACAATATTTTTCCAGTAGTGATACTCGAACCCACACCCAAGCAAGATACAGGTTCAATGTCCACTACGCCAAATAGCTCATCAAACGGTAGGAATTTCAATAACTAATAAAACGCGATAAGATATGAAGGATGAACTCTTTGACATTTCCTTACGACCGATTTCTTGGCACGGCTCGGCTTGCGTTGTTAATCCTATGTTTGTTTGCAAAAAATAATAAAGAAATCTCTTCTTAAAAATTTGATGATCTTATCGCCGAAAGGAATGGAATTTTGCGATGCCGTTGGAGGCACAATCAAAATGCAAATCGGATCGTATTGACGACCATTTAATATATAAGGAAACGGTCGTCTTTCGGGTCGAAAAACTTTTTCGTGTTTGTGCTACTTGACCTTTTAGAAACTTAATACCACAAAAATTGCGGTTTAAGCTTAGTCCCCAAAGCGTGATTGATAGAAAGCTCACCAAAAAGTTTATTTTAATTTTTTAGTTTCGAATAGTGATTTATTCAAATAACATAAAATTGTTTAAACGTTTGTATATTATTAGCTTACACTAGGACTTGAAGGATGATTACAAATATAAATTGGTACTGCGTGAAATTTTTCAATGGATTTGGTGCGTTTTTTGTCTAGTGGATATATTTGCGGTCTACAAAAAAAATCAACCAAGATGACTGTACGTTTAATCGCTATAATTATATATTTTTATCTATTTTCGTATGCTTGATGTGAGAAGTGTTGACCTTTGCGATATTGTCACCTGAAATTGTAATGTCACAAAGTTACTTCACGAATGATCTGGTCTGTCCGGGAAGAATCACGACCGAAATATTATTATCTATTATTCAGATTTGGTCCATTCAGCGACTTATATCCTATTCGGCTGAATACCGAATGCTGTAGCCACACGTGTTGTTGTATACCAAATAATTACGTGTTTTTCAAGTAATAATTAGTGCCTAATTAACATCTATATTATAAAATTACATACCAGAAACTTATAAATGTCTACGCAATTGAAATATTGTAATTAAATCAAGAAGTTACTTCGTTGCAATTTTTTAATACGAAAAAACACTTTTTTATGAGTGCATGTATGCACAAGTTTACTTTTCTTTACACGCTACGTTTCGTATTGTTCTCATCGTCCTCGTAGTATGGCCATAAGGGTGAGTTCTTTTTCCTTAACATTAAATCGAAACATAGGCACCGATTACGATAATTCCTATTCAAAATTACTGGGTACAACGTCGGATAGAGCTTTTGTTGATATAGGTAAATAAACTTCGCCAAAGGGCAAGTGTAAAAATCCCGTATGAAAAATGTATATGTACATGACGGAATTATGCCCGAACATACATAAAAAATACAAACATCCGTGTTGACAAAATCCTCCTTTTTTAAGTCAGTTCAACATTTCTTGCTATAACGGACAAGGCTAAAGTTATAACATCCAAATTCAAAAACGGAACATTATAATCAAAAATAAAGGATTTTTATATCGAAAATATCCGGCCAGTGAAGCAGTAGGTACTGAGACGAGGTCCGTTAGTATAATAATACCTCGTAACACCCGCTGCCAACGTCCACCATATTTAATTTTCTTGATGCCTAAAACTGGAAAAAAGGGGCAAACGAGCAGGAGGCTTACCTGATGGTAAGTGATCACCGCCGCCCCTGAACATTTGCAACACCAGAGATCGTACAAATACATTGCCGGCCTTTTAGGAATGAATAGTCAGTAACGCGAAAATGCTTTTTTATTCCAACTGCATACTCTTAGTTGGCGCAGAACGCTCTATTTATATACCCGCCTGACTAACAGTTCCACTTCGCATATGTTCTCGTTATCTCTCGTAGTGACCTAGGTATGACCTTAAACAGTTTTATCTGTTCGTTTAATATAAAACATAAATAAAGTTATGCAATGAAAACGATCCTGTCGCACGTCTGTCACCCGTTAACGGCAATTTTGAAAGAACTAAGAACAATTTCAGAAATACCGGCTACCGCTATTTCTTTTGTCACAAAACATGTTACACGCTAATGTCGTGTTAATCACTGATTTAACATTTGACATCGACTGTGGATTTTAAAGTTCATTTCTGTAGAGGGAAATTCCAGTTTGCGCAATTTTACGTCTGTCGCAAACACTGTAAGTAAATATCATTGTTACAGCAAGATAATATGTGAATTCTTCTATGTTGACTTCTATGTTAACTCACGATTTACGTTAGCAGATCAAACGTTACGGTTTATGACTAAATACTCTTGGTTCTCGAGTTCTATTGTTGAGAATTCCTTAAGACCAATCATGACGCATTTAGACCGAATCTTACGATATAATGAAAATTCAGTAAAATTTATTTTCTCCCAATATCACGAAGGGCATCCTTCATACTGTTATGTTAACATTGACATTTAAAATCAATGTACACAGCGCGACTATTTTTGATTGAATTAAAAAAAATATTGTAGGATCACACTCCAAAGCTATCTATTGTTGTAGGACCGAAATATAATTCAAAACAATTACAATTTAGTTTTGGAAGGATAACGAAGTTAAGATTTCCTGGAAGAATTTGCTACCAATAAGGCCTATATACACTACACCTACAATAATACTATATTTCCTATATTTTCCTTATGTCTATTTTCTTGTGTGCAATAAAGTATATTCCATTCTATTCTAATTTATCAACCTTGTTTTTGTCATTTTTTTCAATTAAATTTGTTCTTTAAGTATATACATAGAAAAACAGTTAATTCGGTGTTCCAAAAATCAGTAGTGGCTAGCTTTTTGGCGATATGCAGTGTGCAAAGAGTGATGTTCCATTTTGGCATAGAAAGAAACATTTCCATGATTATAATAAAAACATATAGTCATAGCAAAATGCAATGAAAAAAATTAAAGAAATAAAATCGCAGACAAAATTCAGACTATACTAGGCAGTTACGGCGTTTCGATACATTTTTTACCGTAAATGTAACAATATTGTAAATTAACTTATAAATGAAAAGATATAAAATAACTCCAACACATCTAGATCAGAATTATATATCTAACAGATATATAATTCTGTAATTTATAATATATATGCTTTTATTATATAATATTAAACATGGATTCCAAAATTTATAACAGTTTAAGTAAGTTATACTTCTTTTAGGTTTGGAAAAACTTATGAGAGTAGGGACACAGGGGATACAATTTTTAGTTCTTTCTTTTGTTCTTACGAGCCTACACAAGGCCACATATACTTTTCTTTTTCAATTCCGTTCAATATTTAATATCACAGCACGAAAGCAGTAGGTGTACATGATTAATCATTTTTTAAACACGATACCTACTGCATTAAATTTGTTGTAATTAATAAAAGTCTATCGAACGATGCGATGCGCAAATGCAGAATGTGCGTGACTCAAATGGCGATTATGATATATTATTATACGGACGACATTTTATAAAATTATCAACCAGTTTTTATTTATGTTACACATCTATACAAAAACGGAACAGATCGGACAATCCGATAATACATCAACATGTTACCTAATTGTGGAATTTTTGCAATATAAATAAAACAAGTCAATGTTTAAATATTAATGCTCCATCGCAATTGATTGTAAATTAGTATATTCTACAATTCATTGAATCGTATATTTAGTAACGTGTACCTAATATTGATGACTTGAGTTATAATTATGGCACATCTTCAATGTGTTTTCACACAAGTAATAGATTTAACCATTGTGTATAAAATGATTTACTCACTCTTAGATCTGAGACCCTCCGTTACCGTCATGGTGATGTTTTTGAACTCAATGTCCACAGAAGTCGGTGGTGGCATATTTATCTGCAGTATTCTGCATTCATTGTGCTCTTTGCCGCGGACTTTCTGACCAAGTCCCTGCAGCACGGCCAAAGCAGTAGCCATCTTCGATTAATTAACAAACCGGCGTCAAACTTTAAAACAACAATTAACCAGCACTATGTTAAACACTTTTGTTGTTGTTGTATCAGTTACCGTTTTTATTTGAGCAATTTAGTTCACTGGAATCGCGTTTGAAAATATTGACACAAAACGCGTACGTCAGCTTCTCTTTCGAAGCCAAATTGTTTTGCTTATTCAACTGTTACACTTTGCACTTCAATATATTCTGTTATAATTGACTGCATCGATACGATCGGCACATTTCTTTCCGCGGCAAGTTAATACGCGAAGCAATAGCGAATTTTACGTCAGCATTTCATACGCTCGGATCGCGCCGCGAACTTGTGTTGATTGAAGCGTAGTCGCATTCGGACTGATTTAGCATGCCACATGAGTAACAAATTAATACGGCTGCGAGCTAATTTTTTTTTACCTAATGAGCACTGATAGCAGCCAGTCGTTCATATTCACATCGGCCAGTGTGTACAAATTCGTCGAACACATTACTAATAATAATAATACATCAACTTGTGTCTTGTCTTTTATTACCGTGTCAGTTTAAAATACTTATAAAATATTCAAAGTGCTTTTGATTAAATTTCCATATTTTCGAAAAATTATGAAATTGATAGTTTAAATAAAAGTGGAAATTGTCTATAACAAAAAAGATAAACATTTGTTCTATTTAAAGTTTAAAGAATGATAATGTAAGTGAAAGATAAAGTTATGAAAACAGCAGAAGTTTCTAAACCGTAAAAGTGTCTTTCCGATTAAAAATTTTAAAAGAATTAATTAAATTTTTTAGGTCTAAGGTTAATAATAACAATTTTGCTTGTTGGCACTCCAGTAACCAAAACAAGGTTTCCCAATGTTATGTTACAATGCGGGTAGAAAATGATGTTTTGCAAAGACATTCCTCGAGGGGGTTCTTTGTATACCATGATTTTGTAGCCGATTTTAGTTTTTTTTAATGTGAAAAATTGCCAAGCGAGCAGACGGTTCACCTGATGTTAAGTGAATACCGCCGCCCATGGACATCTGCTACACCCGAGGGTTCCAGATGCGTTGACAACCTTTTGAAAATTGGGCTCCGGCCACCTCACTCACCAGACGAAACGCGAAAGTATTATACTTCCACTTTACGCCGGTCTTCTGCGAGGTCGTAGTATTTACCCGGACGAGCCTGCCCATTCGTGCAACAGCCGAGGCAGCTGCGTGGCCTTACCACCGCGAATACAGTTTACACATCATATTTTACAAATATATATATATGATATTAATAATAAAAACTTTTTAGTCCCGCATGTAGAGTATTACCTCGATGATATTAGAACTAACTAGAACTTGTGTTTGTTCCTGCTAAAATTATTATTATGATATTTATTACTTATATTGTTACTTTACACCTTATTTCAACAAATAAACCTTCGGTAATGTTTCTGAGAAACCGCACCGATTCGCTAAAGGGACACAGATTGAGGTCGTTTTACAGCATAACCCGTTAAGCACCTTACCATATATGACCATGATGATGGCAGTGGTCCCAGTCAACACAAATTTGTAAAATTTGCTCTCTTTTTAGGGTTCCGTACCCAAAGGGTAAAACGAGACCCTATTACTAAAACTCCACTGTCTGTCCGTCTGTCACCAGGATGTATATCATGAACCGCGATAGTTACAGTTGAATTTTTTACAATAAAAAATATTCAAGTGTGGATTCCATACAACAGACATGATATATCTTTTTATAGGTTTATGGTACGGTACCCTTCGTGCGCTAGTCCGACTCGCACTTGGCCTGTTTTGTAACATTATTATAGATAAAGAAATCGTAGCATTCTATGTATGGGGGGATTATGTTCAGCAGTGGTTCAAGCATGCTAAAAGGGTGATTCTAATGAAAAATATCGTCATGTACGTTAAATTAAATTATGTTATTGCTGAATGTGGAAAAACTTAGTAACATTTAACATACAATTTAGATACTACCTGAGGCACCAAATATAGTAGTCATGCTGTCTGTCTGTCCTTATGTACGCTTAGATCTAAAAACTACGCAACAGATCTTAATGCGTTTTTTTTTACTAGATAGAGTGATTCAAGAGTAAGATTTATATGTATAATACATTGCACCCGTGCAAAGCCGGGGCAAGTCGTTAGTAACATCTAAATCCAAAACCAATGTCCTAAGTGGACGTGGACGCGCGGCATAAAGTTGCGTTTTCGTGAATTGGACCAAACGATAATAATTTGCATATATAAAACTAATAAAATATACGAGTGCTCACGTTTATACTGTCTGACTTGTAGAGAATGACAGCAAGAATTTCTGACCATTTGACGGGGCAACGGGCATATATTATGTCAATTTAATTAATTGGTTAACTTTTATGTAAATAATACGTTGACATACGTTTTTTACTAATTTCAGTTTGATGTTGTTTGAATTCGAATAGGTAGCTTACAACGGTTACATTCCACTTAAAGATTACTTTAAAGTCGTATCTACTCTTAAATTTTTTAAGCGAAACTCCTATGCGCGGATAAGAGTAAAATTTAAAGACCCGAAATCGTCACGAAAAACGTCAAGCATGTATTGCTTATAGCTAAGTATTAGATAGATGCGACATATGTGAGACTATAAATGGTAGATTATATGCGACAGATATGAGAAACCGGCTAGATAAAAAGATGTAAAATATTATTAGTTAATTTAAGTATGTGTGTAAAGATATTTTAATGATAAATTTGTAAATAAAATCACTACGTAGTTTCGTCGTTCTTTTTCTTTATGGATTTATTGTCTACAGATGTCATGTCAATGACATTGATGAAAATTTTAAATGAATTAAGTTAACTTATGTCATTTTAGAAAAAGTGCAAGAGTAAATAGTTTCCTGTATAATAAAAAGGGACTACATAAACTAAAGTAGAAGTAAAGGCTTTAAATGTTGTTTTTTGTTATTTCAGGTAAGTTACTTTGTTAGAATATGCAAATTGTCAAAACTTTGTATTTTATTATGTTGTCAATAAAAGAAAATTTGTTATTTCAGAAAACGCAATTTCGTCTTTATTTCATTAAAGCACATTACTATTATAAATTTATAATTCGATATGAGTTAAACAGTTGTGTAAGCAAGTTATACAGCGTGTCGTTACAACCAAGACAATGAATTAACATACGTCTTGCCAATAATAATAAAAAAATATAAAAGGGTAAAAAAATCCAAAATTAAAAAAAAATATTTTTCAAACCAACTAATTAAATAGAAAACTAAACAAAATTTGTAACTCCCTATACAACTACAACTGACTGATTCATACATTCAGACACTTTTTCATTCTTTGCCGCAGCGTCATACTACAAATCTAACAGTATGTTTTATCTCTTTCAAATTCATTCAACCCAACCATATGCTTTGTGACCTTTACAAATGAACTTTACGTTACCTTTTTATACGTAAGGGTGTTCCAAGATCGTTTGTTTTGGAAAATTTAATAACTTGGTAAATATTGATGATTAAATAAAAATCATAAAACATGCTTTTGTAGATAACCAAGGTAAATAATTTTTAACAAAAAAACGACTTCAATGCGAATATAAAAAACATTGTTAATACCTATAACATTCAATGATGGCCCTCGATTTCTCTGGGATGCCATCATCCAATCCGGGATTCTTTATCATGATACCACCCTTGGGATATCTCCATTCCGACAAAAAAAGGATCATCAAAAGTGGTTCATAAGCGACGAAGTTTTCCACGAACACACTTAAAAAAATTAAAAATATATACGGTCGAATTGAGAAACCTCCTCCTTTTTTAAAGTCGGTTAAAAAGTAGAAAATGTTTTCAATAAATTAAAATTATAAATAGTGTGATTAACAAAAATATTTTGTTAATCACACTATAGAGTGATTCAAGAGGAAGGTTTATATGTATAATACATTGCATCCGTTTGAAGACGGCGCAGGTCGCTAGTATATATATATATATATATATATATATATATATATATATATATATATATATATATATATATACAGCGTGTCGTTACCATCACGACAATAAATGAACACACGTCTGACGCTTCTTGGCAATAATCATAAAAAATATTAAAGTTAAACAAAATCCATAATTAAAAAAAGTTTTTTTTCAAACAAACTAATTAAGTAAAAAAGAAACAAAATTTTTAACATCCTATACAACTCGCGCCACACCGTCACATTATAAGCCTCTCCTTCTAACAGTATGTTTTGTCTCTTTTAAATTCATTCAACCCATTCATATGCTTTGTGACCTTTACAAATGTACTTTACATTACAATTTTATACGTAAGGGTGTTCTAAAATTGTTTGTTTTGGAAAATTTAATAACTTGGTAAATATTGATTTTTAAAGAATGTAAATGTTTAATACAAATTTAAAAAGTTATCCTCTATATGCCTGTTCATTTATTGTCGCGGTGGTAACGACACGCTGTATATATAACAATTGACTCTAAGCACCACGCACTTTTCTATAATATTTTTTTTTGATAATCACACTTCATAATTTAAGTCTATTCAAAATTATCTTCTACTTTTTAGTTCAGTTATCTACAAAAGCGTGTTTTTTTAGTTTTACGGTTGTGTATACCCAAAGGATAAAACGGGAACCTATTACTAAAACTCCACTGTCTGCCTGTCTGTCTGTCCGTCTGTCACCAGGCTGTATCTCATGAACCGTGATAGTTAGACAGTTGAAATATTCACAGATGATGTATTTCTGATGCCGCTATGACGGCAAATACTAATATACAGAATGAAAAAATATTTAAACGAGTTTCTTTCTTTTTTTTTTTTTTGCGTTTTTATAGATATTGGCACGGAACCCTTCGTGCGCAAGTCAGACTCGCACTTGACCGGTTTTTTTAACTATTATTTATTCTTTATATAAAAATTCGTATTCATAATATCCGGTTCAAAGACAGTTTGTGTTAAGTAGTTTTAGAAATATATTA